GTGTGTGTGTGTGTGTGTGTGTGTGTGTGTGTGCACATTCATACATAGACAAATATATATCGCTTTGTGACAATCAATGCAGGTAGATTGACAAAAATCTTCCGTTCCTCAGATCGGAGACCGGCTGGACGATCCATTCAACGGCTGTCGTAGCGTGGAGTGCGTGAGGAACCCCGAAGGCAAAGTGGATAAAGTGGAGCAGATCCACACCTGCGACGAGAACTGTCCACTTGGCTGGGAATACGAACCGTCGCCTCTGTTCCCGCAAGTGTGCTGTGGCGAGTGTGTGCAGGTGAGTGGAGGGAGCAGTGGTGATTGTATATTGTGAATCATTGTTAATTGTGGTTATTATTATTATTTATTATTATTATTGATTGTGTTTTTATTATTGTTTTTTTATTATTATTGATTGTGTTTTTTATTGTTATTTATTATGATTATTGATTGTGTTTTTTATTGTTATTTATCATTATTATTGATTGTGTGTTTATTATTGTTTAGTATTATTATTGATTGTGTTTTTATAGTGCTTTATCATTATTATTGATTGTGTTTTTTATTGTTATTTATTATTATTATTGATTGTGTTTTTTATCATTATTTATCATTATTATTGATTGTGTTATTATTATTATTTATTATTATTATTGATTGTTTTTATTATTATTACTGTATCTATTGTTAAGGGGTTATGGGTGCGCAGAAGAGAGTATTTAGAAATTCTTTACAAATGTTCAGGGAGAAAGTACACAGTATTTTATATTCGAAAAAAAATAATAATTAGAGAACCAGGAAATACTTCCGAAAAAAAAGAACGATACACGCTTTACTCAGCATAGAGAAATAATTCACGTAATTTAAGATATGCAAATAACCTTGACATATCCCTTTCTCTCTCTCTCTCTGCAAAGGTGGCGTGTGTCGTGGACGGCGAAGTGAAGAACGTAGGCGAGACTTGGGTGTCTGATGACTTCTGCACCACCTTCACCTGCTCCAAAAACAGCGGCGTAAGTGGCGTTTCTGTTGTTGCAATTCGTCTCCAGTTGCATGCAGGATGGGGTGGGGTGAGGGGTTATACTTATGCATATAGGTGTTGGAAGAAGAGTCCAAACCCTTCGCAAATTTGATTGAAGTAAACTGAAATAATTTGGATGGTTTTGAAATGAATTAAAGTAACCTGTACTATTTTGAAGTGAACTGAAGTGGAGTAAAATAATTTGGATCCTTTTGAAATGAATAAAACTAACCTGTACTATTTTGAAGCGAACTGAAGTGAAATAACCAGGACTCTTTTGAACTGAACTGAACTAACTTAACTAACTTAACTGAACTGAACTGAACTGAACTAACTTAACTAACTTAACTGAACTGAACTTAACTGAATTTAACTGAACTTAACTTAACTGAACTGAATTTAACTTAACTTAACTGAACTTAACTGAATTTAACTGAAATGAACTGAACTGAACTTGCAGAGTCAGATCCAGATCCAGGCGGTGGAGGCGCAGTGTTCGGAGCCGAGTGCCAAGGACCGCGAGAATTACGTGTACGAGGAGAAGCGCGTGCCCGACCAGTGCTGTGCCCTCTACACGCGCACCGCCTGCCTCATGGATGGCGTGCCCGTCCAGGTAGGTTGCGTGTGTACTGTACGCGCTTATGGGTGTGCATAGCGGATGTCTTCGTATACATATATACATGAACACATACACGCATACGCAGACGTACACGCACATGCACACACACACACATACACACACACACACACACACACACACACACACACACACACACACACACACACACACACACACACACACACACACACACACACACACACACACACACACACACACACACACACACACACACACACACACACACACACACACACACACACACCCTACGCATATACACAGACATATGTAGATGAATAGATAGATATAAACATACACATACATACATATACGTACTTACAGCCATAATACTGCCGAAAAAAACATACATAAATACACATATCTAGTCAGGGAAACAATCCATAAAAGTCCTTCAAGGCATTTCTCATAACCCCCCCCTCCCCACTTTCTCCCTCCCTCCCCCCCCTATTCTGCAGGCCGGCGAGAGTGTCCAGGACCCGTTGGACAACTGCCTGACCGTGACCTGTGACCTGGCCAGCGACGGCAACGTGACCCGGCGTGAGAAGGAGACCACGTGCGACACCGAATGCGCTCTCGGACAGACCTTCATCGAGCCGATCGAGGGAAGGTAAATAGAGGGAGTGGGAATACTTGATAAATAGAAGGTATAAGATACTTGATAAATAGAATGAGTGGAAATATGTGATGAACAGAGGGAGTGGGATACGTGATGAACAGAGGGGAATGAGATACTTGATAAACAGAGGGAATGAGATACTTGATAAACAGAGGGAATGAGATACTTGATAAACAGAGGGAATGAGATACTTGATAAACAGAGGGAATGAGATACTTGATAAACAGAGGGAATAAGGTACTTGATAAACAGAGGGAATGAGATATTTGATAAACAGAGGGAATGAGATACTTGATAAACAGAGGGAATGAGATATTTGATAAACAGAGGGAATGAGATACTTGATGAATAGAAGGCATAAGATACTTGTTAAATAGAAGGAATAGAAATACTTGATAAACAGAGGGAATGAGATACTTGATAAACAGAGGGAATGAGATACTTGATAAACAGAGGGAATGAGATATTTGATAAACAGAGGGAATGAGATACTTGATAGGCAGAGGGGAATGAGATATTTGATAAACAAAGGGATTGAGGTACTTGATAAACATTGGTAAAACCACGTTTACTGTTGTTGTCCAAATGTAAATATTGCAGTTTTGTTGTTGTTATTCTATATTCGCCCCCATTAGCGAAATTCACTCTTTTTTCCCCTACCTTCCGAAATTCTCCCTCGATCTTTCTTGATTCATAAATACCATATTTAAACCGTTGTCAAGCAAGATCCATCCTCTTTTTTTTTTCTTCTTCTGTCCTTAATCAATATATATATTAGTTTACCTCAATTACCCTGCCAGCAAAAAAAAAAAAAAAAAAAAAAAAAGTCTGCCCCCTACCCCTTCTTTCCCCCCCCATGAATCAACCGCGTTTCGACCCTCTCCGGCCCCCCCCCCTCCATGAATCAACCGCGTTTCGACCCTCTCCGGTCCCCCCCCCATGAATCAACCGCGTTTCGACCCTCTCCACCCCCACCCCCATGAATCAACCGCGTTTCTACCCTCTCCGTCCCTCCCCTCTTCAGCAACGACTGCTGCGGCAAGTGTCTGGTCACGCACTGTGTGGACGACGGCATAGCGCACCCTATCGGCGAGCGGTGGGAGAGCGAGAGTGACATCTGCTACGAGTACAGCTGCGAGACGAGGGACGATGTCCTTACCACCGTGGCTGTTAAGAAGGACTGTCCTTATTTCGACCCCGAGTGCCCGCTCAACGAGATCTACATGGACGAGAAAGGATGCTGCCAGTTGTGCAACGTGACGCGACCGGTTAAGAGTGAGTGTGCCGGTTTTCTGTTCTCGAGTTTTTTTTCTGGTTTCTCGTTTGTGTGGTTGGTCTCTCTCACTGTTTTTTTTTTGTTTTTTTTTTCTTGCCTCCCGTGCGTTTTTCGGGTCTCTTATTGTTTTTTTTAAGAGTTAGTGGTGTGTATGTCTCTGTTTCGTCTCTCTCTCTCTCTCTCTCTCTCTCTCTCTCTCTCTCTCTCTCTCTCTCTCTCTCTCTCTCTCACACACACTCATTTACTCTCTCTCTCTCTCTTTCTCTTTCTCTCTTTCTCTCTCTCTCTGTCTCTCGTTTCTCAAAACTTCTTCACTTCACATTTCTCGCTCTTTCCCCTCCCCTTTTCACTTTCTCTCTCTCTCCTTTATCTCCGCTCTTCTTCCGCATCACATCTTTTTCTCTCTGTCTTATTTCCTCTCATTTCTCCTTTTTCTCCACGTCCCTCGCACGTTCGCTCGCTCTTTCCCTCTATTTGTCACTTCATTGTCTCGTCAGTGTTCTGAAGCCCATGAAAGATACTCACGCCCTTCTTTTCTCTCCCCCCCCCAGGCGATTGCAAGCCGAACCCAATGCCCTTGGTCGACACGGTGGGTATCTTCACGCTGACGGCCAGGAGTGTGGGCACGTGCAAGAACCCCGATCCCGTACCCGGCTTCAACATATGTTCCGGACACTGTGATTCGTTCACGAAATTTGTTGGTAGGTCTTTTATTCTATTGTCATTGTTGTTGTTGTAATTAGTAATATTAGTTTTCGTGTGACTAGTGTGACTACAACTACTATTACTATTACTACTACAATTATTACTGCTGCTTTTAGGACCATTATTGTATTTTTGTTTGTAAGATGCTCTATGATCAACTTTTTTATCATTCTTAATACATAGGCAATAGCATAATGGAGCGAAATAACACGACCTTTTTGTGATTTCTTCACTGACCTGCTTCGCCCTCTGAACACCCAGCAGGTCGCAGAGCCGCCCACATCTCGACCTGCTACTGCTGCAAGCCCGCCCGCTTCGAGAAGATTCGAGTGGACATGCGCTGCGACACCGGCTACGCCTTCGCCCGCGTCTACGACAACATCGTGGAGTGCGAGTGTCTTCGCTGCGACGACAACAGTCCGGACTACATGGGCGACGAACCGATCCTCGACGATGCGGAGTTCTTTGCCATCACGGCGGAACCCATTGATGTCTAAGGACCCACTCTTTCCCTCTGAAATCTCTCTCCTTTCTTTCTTTTTCTCCCTCCTTTCTTTCTTTTTCTCCCTCCTTTCTTTCTTTTTCTCCCTCCTTTCTTTCTTTTTCTCCTTCTGCTTTTCGCCTCTTGCAGTTGTCCCCTTTTTGCTCACCTTTCCTTCACACTCCATCTCCTTCTTCTGTCGTTATCTTTCTGTCTTCTCCTGGTCTTTCTCTTTCTTCCTCTCCCACTTCTCTCTTTCTCATTCTCACTCCGCTTCCTTCATCTGTCCTTTTCTTTCTCCCTTCTCCCAACTTTTTTATTTTCTTTCTCCATCTTCCTGTCTCATTTCTTCCCTTTCTCTTCCTCACTTCACCCCGTTCACCTGCTATTCCCTTTCTCCCTTCTCCCATCTTTATCCTTCCTTTCTCCTTCCCACTACTCGACTCCCCACGCGACCACACTGACCTGTTCCCGCCTTTGCCTCTCGCTGCCCTGAGATCTCTTGGCCGATACTTCAGAACATTCGCTCAGTCCCGACGAGGATATTGTATAAATATTAAAAAAATATATATAATTTAAAGAGAACAGTGTAATGTAAAAGAGATTCCCGGCCAGAATATTGGTGACAGCAAAGAGGAAAAAAGACCACCAACCTCTTAATAGATATGCCAGCAGACCTCCCCCGATGCCGACCGACCGATCACGACGATAGCGAACATTTTGTAAATATTTACATTTATAATCACGTTTTGCAAGAATCAAATAAAAATAATGCAAAAAAAAATGCTTGAGCAGTGAAAAAAGTACAAAAAATATTCCAGCACTGATAAAGTGTTATAACCCTATCAATAAAAGGAACACGTATATTGTTTATGATTTTCCTTCTTATAGTGGAAGTCTTGTTTATCTGTTTGTTTGTTTTTTAGGCGTTTTTTCTGTCGTTTTTACCACCAAAGATCCCGTTTATTTACATCAATACGAATTATCGATTGATATGAACTTCCTGTTACTGATTCACCAAAATTAGTTGATTATTTATCTACATTAATATTAATTTACCTTGAAAAGTCTGTCTACTCAACAAGACGTTTTTTGTTTCACTAACATCCCGTTTTTTTCCAGCTTCCCTTGAAAGATATAGTACGCAGACAAATGAACTCCGTGATGCTTACCATTTTATTTACATTTTCAGTTCCAAATTCCAAGCAAAAAAAAACATATCCGGTCGTACATTCTATCTTGTTGATGTATTTTGATTTTGAATAAAATTACAGAGACATGCTAAGTTATAAATACTATAGTGTCAAGAACAAAGAAACGAAATCAATAAGAGTTCCCTTGCACTGTTTGTGAGAATCTGAACGAAAGTAATACCTTTTATTACGAAGCAAATTGATAAGGTTTGTTATCAATAAGTACGAGGAATATTGTGAAATAAACAACATACTTTATGATCTGTTCGCGTATACAAATATTCTTTCACATATATATATGTTTAGATAGATGGACAGAATCATACATATGTATAAAAATATAGATATATATAATATATATATAGTATTCCTCTATATTCATGCATACACATATATCATACATGCATATATATATATATATATAGATAGATAGATAGATAGATATAGATATAGATAGATATAGATATATATATATTTTTCTTTTTCTTTTTCTTTTTCTTTTTCTAACAGCCATTCATTCCACTGCAGGACATAGGCCTCTCTTAATTCACTATTGAGATGTTATATGGCAGTGCCTGATAGGGACATATATATGTATATATATACATATATATACATATATGTACATATATATACATATATATATTTATATTTATATATCCATATCCATATATTTTAATATAGATAGATAGTATGTGTTTGTGTGTGTGTGTGTGTTTATGTATATGTATGTATATTTTTTTTTTTCAACAGCCATTGAATCCACTGCAGGACATAGACCTTTCTCATTTTCTATTGAGAGGTTATTTGGCAGTTCCACCCTTGCCTGATTGGATGCCCCTCCTTATCAAGGTGTGGTTCGGCGCGCTAACACCTGTGCCACGGCGGCGACTTCCCCTACAACACCTGCGTTTGACTTCTCAATGTGTTTTCTTGGTTTGAGATCGGGTCCCTATGTGTGTGTGTGTGTCTGTGTGTGTATGTATGTGTGTGTGTGTGTGTGTGTGTGTGTGTGTGTGTGTGTGTGTGTGTGTGTGTGTGTGTGTGTGTGTGTGTGTGTGTGTGTATGTATGTGTATGTGTATGTGTATGTGTGTGTGAGAGTGTGAGTGTGAGTGTGTGTGTGTGTGTGTGCATATATGTACAGTGTATATATATACATGTACGTAAGTATGAATGTATACAGTCCTTCATACATACGCTTATAAAAACACGATATTTTTTTATCGCCATACTACTATTTAGATAAAAAAAAACTATATAACTTAATCCACCAATAAATCTACAGCCTATTTCAAAACTCCCGTCATATATATATTTTTTTACAACAATCAGAAAACTTACAAGGAATTTACCATAAAACAAAATACACATAAATCAAATCTTAATAATAAAACACCAAGTCAGTTATCAAAATAAGCATGAGCATCGAGTAACTAAGCAGATACCATGTGAAAAAAGGGATACGGACATAGAAATTAAATCACAAGTAACTTTTAACAGAAAAAAAACACAATTTCTGTTATTATAAATATTACTATTAACATCGCTATTATTATCCTATTATCTCAGATATCTTGGTTCACGAGAGGGGGAATTGCAGATTTAAAGGGGGGATGTTTAAACACAAATGGTATAAGGGGGGAGGGGGATTACGTGCAATGTTTCATCATATAGAATGAGTAAAATGTCAGTTTGCTAGATATGCCAATATGGTTGTGAAGAAATCTCTCTCTCTCTCTCTCTCTCTCTCTCTCTCTCTCTCTCTCTCTCTCTCTCTCTCTCTCTCTCTCTCTCTCTCTCTCTCTCTCTAACTCTCTTTCCTTTCTCTCTCTTTCCTCTCTCTTTCCTCTCTCTCTCTCTCTCTCTCTCTCTCTCTCTCTCTCTCTCTCTCTCTCTCTCTCTCTCTCTCTCTCTCTCTCTCTCTCTCTCTCTCTCTCTAACTCTCTTTCCTTTCTCTCTCTTTCCTCTCTCTTTCCTCTCTCTCTCTCTCTCTCTCTCTCTCTCTCTCTCTCTCTCTCTCTCTCTCTCTCTTCTCTCTCTCTCTCTCTTTCCTAACTCTCTTTCCTTTCTCTCTCTTTCCTCTCTCTTTCCTCTCTCTTTCCTCTCTCTCTCTCTCTCTCTCTCTCTCTCTCTCTCTCTCTCTCTCTCTCTCTCTCTCTCTCTCTCTCTCTCTCTCTCTCTCTCTCTAACTCTCTTTCCTTTCTCTTTCCTTTCTCTCTCTCTCTCTCTCTCTCTCTCTCTCTCTCTCTCTCTCTCTCTCTCTCTCTCTCTCTCTCTCTCTCTCTCTAACTCTAACTCTCTTTCCTTTCTCTCTCTCTCCTCTCTCTTTCCTTTCTCTCTCTCTCTCTCTCTCTCTCTCTCTCTCTCTCTCTCTCTCTCTCTCTCTCTCTCTCTCTCTCTCTCTCTCTCTCTCTCTCTCTCTCTCTCTCTTTCTCTCTCTCTTTCTCTCTCTCTTTCTCTCTCTCTTTCTCTCTCTTTCTCTCTCTCTTTTTCTCTCTCTTTCTCTCTCTCTTTCTCTCTCTCTTTCTCCCTCTCCCTCTCCCTCTCCCTCTCTCTCCAGTAATGAAATGGGTTTCATCATCGACATTATTCCTTAATAAAAAGTTTCAATTACTGCTTCTTAGACCTGCCACTGTTAAAAAAAAAACAATATCATATTGAACCCAATTACTTGAGCAAAATTGAAAAAGGAGTGGGAGGAAAGAAACCCAGGGTATTTAGGGCCATCAATATAAACGTAAACCAGACCGTCACTGGATTACACAGGTGTTGCCGGTCCACAGGTGCTGCTTCTTTTAGTCATGGCTCAGTTATCCTCGAAACCACAGACCCCAAACACGAAACATCTCGCCTAGTATACGCCTGTGTTTTTTTTCTCTCGGTTTTATTGGCGAAACAATCGTATCGTCGAAGTGGGTTATTGTATACATTGACGCGGTGGGATATAATACCGAATAATCATTTATGTGTTGGCATTTTAAGTACCTGAAAAGTGAGTCAACTCGAAATCAGACGATTTGAAACTACTACAACTCTCCATCGCGTTCAGTAGATATATAAGGATCTGCTCGCTACAGAGTGGAATTTCGAGAAAAAAGCGACTAAACATGGATCTCCTAGAGGACAACGTTCAGTGGCATTCATCGGAAATGGTTTATCAGGTACGTTCTGTGCGTTTTGGACAAAGGGGTTCTGGTACATATGTTAATTCGAGATGCATTGGTGTTTGTCTTTCTATCAAGATACCAAGCCCGTTTGATATCGATCTGTCTGCCTGATGTCTGTTTGTTAGTTGATATCCAACCATGATTCTGATAACTATCTATTTGATAATTGTCTGATACAGTGGTTCCCAGATTTTTCCAGGCTGACGCCCCCTTCGCTTCTAGCCCCCTTCGCTTCTAGCCCCCCCCCCCCGCCCACACCTCAGTACACATGTGAACACACCTTTTTATTCCATTTTGGAATGCTTTAAATTGAAAACAAGATTAAACGCGAAGTTGTACTTCACAAGTAAACTCTAATTCAGTACACCAATTTATTTAGCAATTTTATTTTAAAAAAAACAAAAAGTTATTTATTAATTTTAACAACCATCCCCTCCCCCCCTTCCACGATCTTTCTACCGCAGCCAAGGAGACAGACCGCCCACTTTGGGAATCACTGGTTTAACATATGGCGGTTAGTCAGGTCTCTATCTATCTATCTGTCTGATACCTGTCATGCTGTCTGATAACATTCTATCTAATTATCCAAGGTTGATTTTTGGGCATTGGTACAGACACGCGAACATGCACACAGATATATATATTTATATTTATATATATGTATACATATATATATATATATATATATATATATATATATATATATATATATATATATATATATAAAGAGAGAGAGAGAGAAAGATAGATAAAATTAATTATGTAATGTGCGTATGTTTGTATGTTTGTACGTATAATACTTGTGCACATCATATGATTACATTTACGTATGTGATATATATATATATATATATATATATATATATATATATATATATATATATATATATATATATGTATATATATATATATATATATATATATATATATATATATATATATATATATATGTCTATGTGTGTATACGGTACATATGTGTGTATATATATATATATATATATATATATATATATATATATATATATATATATGTATGTATATATATATATATATATATATATATATATATATATATATATATATATATATGTATGTATGTATGTATGTATGTATGTATATATGTATATATATATGTGTGTATGTATATGCATATATGTATGTATATATATATATATATATATATATATATATATATATATATATATATATATATATATATATATATACATATATATATATATATATATATATATATATATATATATATATATATATATATATATATACATATATATGTATATATATATATATATATATATATATATATATATATATATATTTATATACATACATACATATATATATATATATATATATATATATATATATATATATATATATATATATATATATATATATATATATATATAGCGTGTGTCTGTGTGGGTGTGAGTGTGTAGATATGGGTCCATGGTTTGACGATAATAAAATTAGTTTGTGATATGCTAAGGCAATTATAAATCTCGAACCAGTTACTTAACATTATCATTATCATCATTATCAATATTATTATCCTCATCATCATCACTATTATTCTTATCATCATTATCACAATAATAATTATCATTGTTATCCTTTTATTACTGCTAGTATCATTAACATTATTATTAGTAGTAGTATTACTATTGTTAACATTATCATCATCATAATAATCATAATCCTCCTCATCATTATTATCATTATTTTATTATCATTATCAATATCATTATTTTATCATCACCAGTATCATTATTATTATCACTATTATCATCATAAATATTAATAATATTATCATTACTTTTATTATCATTATTATCATTATTATCCACTCTATTATTATTACAAAAAACATTACTATTATCATAATTTTAGTATATTTAGCTTTATACCTAACTAGGTCACGAGGGGTCATATTGGCAACTGATTAGGTAAACCATATTATTATCACCATCATTGCAATAATCATCATTATAGTAACTTTTAGCATTATTACTATTATTTTTTTACTGTGAGTATAACTTTCATGATCTTATCACCTGAGATGTCTTCTCCTTACAGCTATTTTAGTATCTTTAGGTTTAGACTCTTAGACTTTAGACTTTAGTTAGCTGTTGCAAGGTCACCTGGGTGTCAGATAGGCAAGCGTGCAGAATATCTATATTATCATTATTTTTATTATTATATCATTGTTGTTTTTGTTGTTATTGTTATTGTTGGTTTGTTGCTGTTGTTTCGTTGGTGTTTTGTTGTTATTATTGTTTATTAGTATTAGCGTTATCGTTATTATTATTGGGGGAATATGAAATTGAAACCAAGTAAAACATGCGATATATAACAACAAATAATCGCTGTTCATCACCGCCTGTAAAATCAGTCCAATGTGCAAGATCGCCGGAATGAACTCGCATTTAAAATTACTTTAGTGTCTACTCGATTTGCCACCGTTTTCTATGGTCTCCTTCCCCCTGTCTGCCATTCTCTACCCCCCGTTCTCAGCAGTGTGACGTCATAGACCTTATCACCAAAGCTACGCCGGAACTAGGAAGTGATGATACCTTTAATAACCTTGATTTTACCACTTGTGGGTTGTGATAATAAAGAGAATTATGATAATGGTAAATGTCCTAATGGTCCATGTTATGATGCCATTACACGGTTGGGTTGTGATGTTACCGTACGTATATTGTAATAATTATGTGACATTACAATATACATTATTATATACATTACGGTAAAACTGTCTTTACAACCCGTACGTAAATGACATCACAACATGGATCATAAGCACGTTTATCCTTATCACAACCCACACTTCTCTAACAATTATTTCGTTCCCGCCTACTCTCATATACATATATATATATATATATATATATATATATATATATATATATATATATATATATATATATATATGTGTGTGTGTGTTTTTCCATTTCCCATGCATCTAGACATATCTATCTCTTTACCTTTTAATGGAAACAAACAGAGCTGATACATTTGTGGATGGACAGATGTCGTAATGGAAAATCATCTGGTTCTGATTGCGAGGAGATTAAATATATTAGCGGATCAGAAAGTATCGTACTGGAAAATTAGCGTAACGGTATACGATTTTAGACAAGCAGAGCTCAAGGTAAATAGTTTATGTCGTCAATAGATCGATTAATACTTTTTTCTTTACTATAGTTGTATTAAGCCGAAAATTATTCATTAAAATCATTTAATTAAACCAATAAAACATTTATAGGGAATGGAAAATTCTAGATTCCACAGTACATCTTTGACAACATAAATGTTACTCGTTTAATGATATTAAGGACCAATGAAATGGAGCAATACTTGGCTACTGCGTTGTCATCCAGACATATGCAAGCAGATGCATCATTTTTCTTTTCAATATTGGAAACCATAATTCCTATGCAACTGTAATTACAAGATATTGGTAATTTGGACCTCAGTTGAAAGAAAGAATAATGGGAATTATAGATAAAAATCTCAGCTTTAGCAATTATACAAGAGGTTAAGATGGCGAATTCAATATTACATTAGGATATTACAGACAGATGGAAAGACTTTTACTGTACAATAACCACACTTATGTGCTCAATTATAGCGTGGGATTTCTATGCGGTCTCTTCTCAAAAAGAAGCCTATTGATCAAATTCCAGGAGGTTCAGAGAAGGATGAATAAATGAATACCAAGCTCGCCCAATGTGACGCAGTCGGAAATATTGCGGAAAATTAACCGACACATACCAAATGGGAACATAACATAAGCGTACAGAATTTCATTTAGTGAAATACATGACCGGTATAAGTTTTAAACATTATCATTAAATAGGATGACTACTCTCAGGATGACAGGTAGTATCGGTAAAATCTGCAATACTTACAGTTTCAGTGCACACTCAGTACAAGTGTGTGGAGCTGGTTGCCAAATGACGTTTGGAACACAATAGCCCTGAATGGCTATTGTGTGTGCGGGGGGGGGGGGGGGGGAGGTGTTGTGCTGTGGTTACAAGTACGAAATTAACATCACCAGAAATGACAAGAAGTAACACGAAATCCTACCAGGCAACTAGAAAGGAGAAAGATGTCTTAGAATTTATCAGTCTATCGATTACCATGTCATGGTTCGCCTGTACTGCTCGTGAAATGCGTACGATTTACCCCATTTTTTTTCTTTTACTTATTTATTGCGTGTATAATAATCATGTTTTAAAAGAGTTATTATTTGCATGAGCATGGTGAAGACATGGTGCGGCTTCTTAGTTAGTTTCAGTATAGCTATTTGCATATAAATGTGCGTGAGCGTAACAAAGCCGTGGCGAATATTGCAACACTGTATCAGTCAAGTTTATATAAAGAGTGAGATATTATCACCAGATAGTATCTCGTTTGATTATGAGACTACCATCTCATTTTCCAGATGAAGTTGTTAATTTTCATATCACACGCACAAACACGTACGTGCGTGCGTGTACACACAAAACGCCAACTTATATATATATATATATATATATATATATATATATATATATATATATATATATATATATATATATATATATGTATGTATGTATATATATATATTTATATATATACATATATCTATATATATATATTTATATATATACATATATTTATATGTATATATATAAATATATGTATATATATAAATATATGTATATATATATATATATATATATATATATATATATATATATATGCGTGCGTGCGTGCGTGCGTGCGTGCGTGTCTGTGTGTGTGTGTGTGTGTGTGTGTGTGTGTGTGTGTGTGTGTGTGTGTGTGTGTGTGTGTGTGTGTGTGTGTGCGTGTGCGTGTGCGTGAGTGTGTGTGTGTGTGTGTGTGTGTGTGTGTGTGTGTGTGTGTGTGTGTGCGTGCGTGCGTGCGTGCGTGCGTGCGTGCGTGCGTGTGTGTGTGTAACCTCACACATACATACAGACTATACGTTGTTGATTCCTTTCTTGTGCGGCCTTGACTATTCTCTCTTCCCTGTCGATCGCTTCCTGTCAGTCCCATACCTCTGTACATGACCATGAATACACATGGCTGATTCTTATCTGCCCTTTTCATTTAGTTTTTAGACCGAGATTTATTATTTCTCAGATAATAGTTTTCATACTAGTTATATATAGAATTGTGCTTGCGTGTGCGTTGATTCGGGGGTAGTAATATTTTCCTTCATTGCTTGTATGAAGAATATCACGTAGGCATTGTTCTTTGACTCCTTGGAATACTTAGATACGTAAGTACATCTATGCGAAGCTATAAAGTCTGTGATTCTGATTATTTTGATGTAAAACAGAATATATTAATATTGTGTCTATAAAACGTCAGGTGATCAGCACTTCCTCCTTTTGTCCTGATATTAAAATTCTTTATATATTAAAAAAAAAATACTTTCAGCACCACTACGATTACAACAAATACCACCCAGAGACACGACCTAAAGGCAGTTTAGAAAACAATAATTAAGCCATCCCCCACACATTTAGAATTAGAATCAAGCCGATTTAACCTTTCGAACAAAAAGCCGAACCTCGAGCCGAAAGCAGGGATTCGGACAGAGCGTCTCCAGCTGTAAACAAACAGTAACAAGTGAATGAGTTTGGTGGTCGCACGCATGTCTCTTTTGCTCTGCTTGTTGCACTCGTTGCTCTGGAAACCTTGCAGCTGGTCTGATTTCGAGTATCTCGGTGATTTAATCTGTCTTTGATTGTTCTAGGGAGGGTTATGTCGTTATGCAAGAGTTTGGTGATTTGTGAGAGGAGGGAGATAACACTTGATATTTCGCCACGGGGGTCAGGCGAGATACGAGATTGCAGTTTATGTAATTGTT